GTTTCAGAGAAAAGGTCTGCATACTACTTAAGCATATTACACAGAAACAAGCACTGGTGTTCTCTCCTCTCCCTCCCCTCTCAGCTCTGCAGTCTCCCATCACTCATGCAATTTTTATGCAGGTGCTGTCATCCCTTTCACCTCTTTAATCCAAGCAACAACACCACCACCAGTATTTGCTGGGACTTATTCCATAACTGCAAACAATACGTACTGTGGAGCAAATTTCTAAGAGCTAATACCTTGTGTCACTCAGGGTGCATGATGATTCATTATGTCTTACAGTATGAACAGGGTGTGATGTTGTCTCACCATGTCACAGACTTACTGTGTCTTGCTTGGATAATAACTGGAAATTAGAGCTGGAAAAACTGAGAGTGATTTTAGTTTGGTGACTCCCTGTCAAACAAGTTTGGCTCATGCAAAAATCAAAGGTGCTATGATAATTAAACCCCAAACTTTGGGAGAGAATGCTTGACTCAACCCACAAGCTGTCTAACTCCCTCTTTCCTTTCTAACTCATGTCTTCACATCTTTTCCTGTGCGTTCCCTCAGGACTGACTCGACTGCCCCATGATGCAATCCAAACCCCACCCAGACCTGTTTTGCTGTGCTTTCACCCTGTCTTCCTGCCAACAGCTCCTTACAACACATTTCTTCCAGAAGGCCTATGAACCCCAGTCCTCCCCTCAAAGAAGTGTCAACAAAACAGATGGAGGGAGCAGACCAAAACCTGTGAAACTAACAATTAGAGGCCGCTATGATAATACAGATAAAACATCAGCATCATGGCTCAGTCAGTAGGCTTTCTGTGGCAATATCCCACCCCCCCACCCATCCTTCATCTAATCAAGTCCAGAATTTCAAAAGGACTCAGTCAGCACTCACAACTGGAGTCAGATTTTCAAACAGAGAGTTCAGCTCCCATTCACGCAGATAAAAGAAGTGGCCAGATTTTCAACAGTGCCAAGCACTCAGCAGCTCCCATTAAATCTATTCATTAGATTTTACTCTTCTTGGAGCAGGGAATTTGTCTCCGATTTGCCTGTAAAAGGACTCTATCCTACCACTAGTGCTATATAAACAATGATAATACATGTTTCTGGGTTTGACCCATCTCTACTAGAGGAAGGATTTACATAAAAACATATCCCTCCTGCCCTTCTGGGTAAGAGTGCCTGTGAAAGACTAGAGGGACTCTGTTCATGTCTCGAACCATCACTGCAGTCAAACTGAAAGGTAAATGAGACGCCTGCATCCTGCCCACAGTAACACTGTTTAGACAGACGAAGATCAGCTTTACATCAATGGAGTGTCTTGCAGTGGGGAGCTGATAAGAAAGAGAAAGGCAGGTTCCATGATGGACCCAGCTGCCTCAGTAGTATAGTTGGAAATACCAGAGGTGATGCTTTGTATATTTACACAAGGAAGCTAAGTAACCGAGCTGAGACCCTGGGTCTGTGCATGTATGGGGGGGGGAAGAGGGGGGAGAGATTAAGGGCCAGATTCTGACCCTTACTCAAAGGGGGCTTATCTGACTGCTATGCGGCGCTCATTACCTGCAGCCCTCTCCATCTGATCTCTGCCTGCAAAAGCCAGAATCTCCACCATCATCAGTAATAGATGTCGAGCCAGTCATTAACCTTCAGCTATAACTTCCACACACATAACATCTTTTAGAACACTGCTTAGTAAACTGCATTTCCATTGCCAGCCAGAGCTCCCTGCACTTAAGGCTTCTTGTATGGTTTCCTAGTAACCCAGCTTCCTATTGTGTGCGGTTCCATTAGACAAACAAATCAAAATCAGGAAAACAAGCAAATTACAGAAGAAAGAAGCTGCCAGAATTGCAGTATGAGCATGCATAAATATGCTGGAGCGGGTCATCTTGCAAATACAGACTAAGGCCTTGGCTATACTCGCGGATTCACAGCGCTGCCGTGAAGCGCGAGTGTAGTCGCGCCGCCAGCGCTGTGAGAGCTGTCTCGCAGCGCTGCAAGTACTCCACCTCTCCGAGTGTTTTTTCACACCCCTGAGCACAGCAAGTGCAGCGCTGTGAATTGCAGTGTAGCCAAAGGCGTAAGAGGTTCTCCGGCTCACTGCCTGCTGTGACGTTGTGCAGTCTATATGGTTTTATAAAAACATGATAATAAGTGAATATAATATAACTGGGATACTTTTAGAAAAATATGGTAAAAAGTGAACATAACGTAACTGGGATATGCTTCATGCAAAAGGTCTCTTGTAAGGTATCATTACAAAGCTCATAATCTACTGAGTGTGATCATCCTATTTGTAGAAATGTACCACTCTTGTATCTAAAACTAGAAATATAAAACATAACTCTGAGGGCCTATTGTAATTATGTAAAGTGTGGGCCATTAAGGATGGTTTGGAATCTTGATGACTCCCATTGTCTGCAGATGGCTGTATTTACCTCTGAGTCCTCCTGTATGTGTGTGTGCTGGCAACTGAGTAACGAAGTCTTGCAGTGACATGTGATCATGTCACCTGAACTGGAATCCATCTTTAACCTGGTGCTTTTCCAGTGAGTGGGGGGTGGAAACCCAGAGGGACAAAGGGTTCCCGCCTTATGCAAAAGATATATAAAGGGGTGGAAGAGAACAAGGGGGGAGAGGAGCCACAATGAAGAATCCCCTAGCTATCACCTGAGCTACAACAAGAGCTGTACCAGGGGAAAGAATTGTGCCCAGGCCTGGAAGGTGTCCAGTCTGAGAAAAAACTTACTGAAGCATCTCTGAGGGTGAGATTATCTGTATTCAGTTTGATTAGACATAGATTTGCGCATTTTATTTTATTTTGCTTGGTGACTTACTTTGTTCTGTCTGTTACTACTTGGAACCACTTAAATCCTACAAAAACAAGAAGGAGTCTGGTGGCACCTTAAAGACTAACAGATTTATTTGGGCATAAGCTTTCGTGAGTTAAAACCTCACTTCTTCGGATGCATAGCTAAATCTGTTAGTCTTTAAGGTGCCACCAGACTCCTTCTTGTTTTTGTAGATACAGACTAACACGGCTACCCCCTGATACTTGACTTAAATCCTACTGTCTGTATTTAATAAAATCACCTTTTATTTAGTAATTTACTCAGAGTATGTATTAATACCTGGGGGAGCAAACAACTGTGCATATCTCTCTATCAGTGTTATAGAGGGCGAACAATTTATGAGTTTGCCCTGCATAAGCTTTATGTAAAACGGATTTATCTGGGTTTAGACCCCACTGGGAGTTGGGCATCTGAGTGCTAAAGACAAGCACACTTCTGTGAGCTGTTTTCAGGTAAACTTGCAGCTTTGGGGCAAGTGATTCAGACCCTGGGTCCATGTTGGAGCAAATGGGAGAGTCTGGCTCAGCAAGACAGGGTGCTGGAGTCCTGAGCTGGCAGGGAAAACAGGAGCAGAGGTAGTCTTTGCACATCAGGTGGCAGCTCCCAAGGGGGTTTCTGTGATCCAACCCGTCACACCTGCTTCTACCACACAGCAGGATAAATACTACTTGCTATGTGCAGGTACATTAGAAGGGATATTGCACTCCATGAACATTCAAGGGAGAAACTATGTTTGCAGCAAAACATGTTTTTACATGTATACAGCTTTATGCAGCTCATGGATGAGCCAGGCTGACAGCTCTCAAAAGGCTGCAGTCTGCCATTAGAGATGAGCTTGTGTAATTTGCAATGAATAATTTACAAGATGTCTATAAGCAGATCAAAATTTTCTGGAAATATATTCATTACTGGCATTTCTCAACCATTTTCTTTGTTTTCTGCTTAGTGTTTTTTCTGTTGATTGATGGTTATTGGTTCATTGGGTTTGATACTTAACATTTTGTATTCAAGCTCTGTTGGTGAGTTCTGACTGGTCACATAAGTCACCTGAGTATTCATTATGTTTTCTGATTGAATCAGCATAACTCAACATCAGGAGGCAGGCTCAAGAAACACACTAGAGATGCTCAGGATGGGTCTAGGCTAGAAAATTGCACTGGTGTGACGGACAGGGTGCAAACTGTAACAGTGCAGACCATCCACACTGGGCATCCTAGTTCTGGTGCATACAGAGCACCATATCCACATGCGCGCGCGCGCGCACACACACTCACACACACAGCCTCATATGGCATTTGCTGCAAGTGCTGCAGGGTCTCTCAACATTTGCACCTACCCCACAACTCTCCATGCAGCTCCCTGCAGCAGGTACCTAATGTCTAAAGAACACTTACACCTGTTCACAATGGATCTGTCCATCACAAGGAGCGGCATACTTGCAGGTGGTGTGGCAGAGAGTTTCCAACCTTTTCTCAAGCTGCTGCCAGGTGGAGTCTGGGCTGAAGAACTTATTTTGGGCATTCTAGGCACTTTTTTCCTGCTCAGCTTTGACCACCTGTATTTGACACAAGCTCTCTCTCTCTCTCTCTCTCTCTCTCTCTCTCTCCTACACACACACACACACACACACACAC